TTGTACCATTAAAACAGCTCCACCACCTGCAAGAAGTTCCGATTTCACACATTATATAAGATTCTAGAGACAGGCAAATTTTAATAAAGCACGGAAATGTAACGCAGCTTTTGCAGGATTTAAATGTATGCATGCAGGTGTAACTGTGTTGGTCTCACAGATTACCAGAAATCGATCGTAAAAGTCTAGCAACACACAAAAGTAAACTGCTCTTGTCATTATTAGCCCCCATATTAGTGTTTAATTTTATTAAATTCATTAGCGTTTCAAATTTTAATTCTAGAATAGCTAGTCAAGTCTTCTATAAATACTTTCATTTAATATCCAATAATATTAATATTAAAAAATCTCTTGTCATCATTAGTCTTCATATTAGAAGTAACTAATCAAGTTTTTCCGTCGTTTTCCTTCCTTTCTTTTCTGTTTAATTATTTTTCATGCTAATATAAGAAACAAAAAGAAGTAAATCAACAATCTTATTGCTGCAAATATTATAAAATATAGGTTAGGCACGCAATTATTGTTTGAGCTTTAATCATAATTTCTTTTTACCTTATTGATACTGCAAACTCTTATATACTAACAAGAATGTAATCATCATCACTCATTCAACCCCCATTGAACATTCTATTTCAACTTCTCATTCACTCGATGTTCCTATCTATTTCAACTTGGCATTCACTTCACATTCCTAATTTAATCAATAAGAGAAACTTCTTTTACTTTTCAATTCAATAAAAAATCCACACCATTTTCATTTATCTTTCTATCTATTAATTTGACTTTTTAATAATCTATACATAATTTTAAACAATACAACTGTTTAATATTTCTCAAAATACTCCTTCATATTAAGATCACCGCACATCATTAACATTCATTATACATTTTGCAAACAAAACACAACCATAGTTTATTTATTATATTCGTTCATCATAAAATTCTAATTCAAAATATAATAAAGATTAAATGATGATTAGATGAAAAACTCAAATTCATTCTATCCTTAATAATGCATTAATGCATTCCTAAACATGTATGAATAGGCAAACATTTAACTCCACAATTTTTCATTTCCTTACTAATATAATCGCTCTTGACTGAACAAAATACCATGTTTTTTTATTTATAATTCGTCTTGATTTTCTTAAACTTATCATTAATTACATCTATCATAAATCACAACTTAATCATATTAAAATTTAGCATTACAATTGTATGATCATAATATTCCTTCATCAAAGTATATGCATCATTCAACTATATTCAATTTCAATAATCATATAAATTCTGCTAAAATGCATAATTATACAATTATAAATATTAAATCCATTTAAATTCATCCTAAATTCATCCTTCCTTTATTTCTTATTTGGCTGACCCTTTGACCATTAATTCACTAAGTTTTTTATGTTAATAACAAGTGATTTCACATAATTTTTAAATTATTTTAGCCCATTTACATGATTTCACAAATAATTTGTAATTCTCTCAAAATCATTCAAGAATCTTAATTAAGTAAAAGTTTAAAATTTAATACTAACATGCTAACTACTTAAATTAATAGGAGTATTAATGTTTAAAGATGCATTGCAAATCAAGATGGATGCTTAAACCTTTCCTTCACAAACCAATGTTTTTAATTTCTCCTTCCTCCTCCAAGCTTCTCTTTCTTTTCTTTTTTTTCCAGCCATCTCTCTCTCACCCTATCTCTTCCTTTCTTCCTAATTTTTCAGCCTCCGTGCATGTCTCTTCTCCCTCCCTCCAATTTTTCTTTTTCATCCCCCCACACCATCTTTCAAGAAAGAAGAAGAAGAAATTAAAAAGAAAAGAAAGAAAATGAAGACTCTCAGCCTACCCCTTTTTTACAGTTGTACGTAGGATTTTTGAAGGTTCAAGGGAAGAGTTTTTGGCTCAAATATCAATTTCACCCTAATTTATTGCTTGTTTGTTGTTTTAACTAAACTCTAGCACTACCATGAGGCCTTTTCAAACTTTGATTGATCTATAATTTTAATCTAATGTAGAATGATGTGTCATAAGATTACTTTTAATTTTTTAGCTTAATCTAATAATTAGATTAAAAATTATACTTGATGATATAAAACTAGTTAGCAGGTAATTTTTCACACCAAAATTTAAAATTATGTATTATTTTACCTATTAAAATCATAAATATTTTCAAACTACTTCATTAGGGACTTACATGCATATTTAAAATAAATTTATACCTCAAATTTCATCTCTTTCCAGGTTAAAATGGCGTGGTCGTACGCATGCTTAAATCAATAGTTAGAGTAATTCGCTTGTTAAATCATATATTAATTTGTTTAAAAATTTCAAATTGTTTTTTTTTTTAATATTTTCACCTCCCATTTATAAAAATCACCTATATCAATCACTAGTTTATCAATTTTTTAGGTTCACACCATACCTTTTATGTTTGTTAGGTTATATTTATTAGATTTAGACACATTTTTAATATTGAGTTTAAGTTGACCATATTAAATTTCATTAAATTTTATTCCAGAACATTGTTTTCCTATTTTACTCCTTCCATTTGATTTTAATTTGTTTTTTATTTTCTCACTATTTTTATACTTCTATTTTTTAAACTAACATTTAAACATTTTATTTCAAAATCCTGAAATCCAAAGTCACCTTTTTAATTACAACACTTATTTTACTCATTTAACATAATAGTTTCCTTATTAATTTCATGAATTTTATTTAGGAGTTTACAATAAGAATGTATATCATCCTCTTGATTGAGTGATGTTATAGTTCCGCAAAGCTTTTTTTTTGCTGAATAAAAATTTAATATCGTGGTAATTGAAAACCATGTTAGAGGCTATTTCCAGCTTATTGCATCAGGTTTATTGGACCTGACTATTCTCTTGAATGACTAGTACTACCTCAATATAGAATCAAACCTTATTAAAAGGTTGTTGATGCTCTAATAAAGTAGTTATATTAATAATTATAAGGAGGTTTGTGACATGTTCTATCTCAGGTATATCATGATCATTTATTATTGGTAGTGGTTTGGAATGTCAAAGCACAGTACTAAAAGAGTAGTTGTTGGGTTTTTGATAAGTTCCCTCATACGATGTTGATGCTGATGTTTCAAGAAATCCAAGTAACTTAAGAGCAATACTTATATATTGGATAATCGGTTAATTTCTTAATTCTAGCAATTTAATCTACTCTCTCAAGTCAAGATAGCTAGTAGCTAGTACCTAATACCTAGTATGTCAAAGTGGCTGGTAACTAGTACTTATAAAATATCATCTTCTATAGATTTGAAGACTCTTGAATGTTTATGTAAATATCTTTTTTAGAGAGAGAAGAAAATGATATTTTAGAGAGAAATGCTCTAAAAATATATATGCAGTATATAATAGAGATTATAAACTTAAAGTTTGAAGGATTCATAAATAATTTATAGCCCATGAATTTTGTTCTTTTATGGAATAGAGGGGCTAAAATGTAATTTTATCATGGTAATATTAACAAGGGATAAACATTCATTACAAAAATATTAGTAAGAAAAAATATCCTTAATATAAATATTAATGAGATAAAAATACAAAAAATCCTTGAAAGACTTTATACATTTAGGGATGTTGAGAGATAATACATTAAACACAAGTACAACCAAGAATACATTTATTTGTATGCCTTATGATGAAAAACTTGTTATATATATTTTTGAAACATAAAAATAAACATATTAGTAAAAATAAATTATTTATGATTTATTTTCTTAAAAAATTATAAAAAATAAAAATGTCTCGGATGTATTAGACGACTCACCCACTCCACATCACCACCTTCAAATATAAGATTATTTTTTTTAATCCTACCAACAGAGCAACTCTTCCATTGTTAGAAGTTCTAATCCATATTCTCTTAGCAAAGAGACAAAATACTTAATAAATTAAAATAATTCGCAATTGCGAGAGCTCGAGCGTTTTTTTTTTTTTTTCAACCTGCTATTTTTTTAATTATTTTCCATATAAAGAAATATTAAATTAATATCTTTTAATAGTTTAACATTAAATATTAAAAAATAATTATAATAACAACAAATGTCAGCTACAGATAGCTTGTCCGTCTCCCACTTACGTCATGCCAGTTTATAGAGTAAGTGATTCTATGCTATGCAACCCAGAAAAATCATATATACATATTGCACTTTTTCCATCCATTAATATTTTATATTTGTTTTTATATATTTTTTAAAAATTTATTTATTTTAAATTAATATTTTTTTATGATAATATAAAAATATTTTTTCAAAAAATAAAAATATATTATTTTAAATATTTTTAATTAAAAATATTTTAAAAACAATTATAATTATATTTTCAAACACTTTTTAAAAATGATGCGTCTCACTATCCATGTCAAGTCCAAAAGTTAGAGATTTCTCAGCTAATGATCGCCTCCTAAATCTTAAATATGTCATTTTTTAAATCAATTTCTTAAAAGTTGATTTGATGGTGAAAAAATTATATAATTTTTTGAAAGCATCATAATATTTTTTATTTTAAAATAAATGAAAATAAATTTTTTATTTTTTATATTAACATATTAAAATAATCATAAAATACTAAAAAAACCATCAATTTAATATATTTTTATTAAATTAGTTAATCATAAAATACTAAAAAATTTAATCATCAGTTTAATCATAAAATACTAAAAAATAATCAAAAAGTTACAGCAATTCTTAACACTCAATATAATCACATAATGGAAGCATCATCAATGATGTCCAAAACAAGACAAAGATTAAAACAAAAGGTTTGGTTGATAAATTCAAAATCAAAATCATTTTTTTTCCTTTTGAAAAAGAACCAATAATCACACATGAAAGTTAACTACTATTTCTTCTTCTTTATATTTTTTTAAAGAGTAGTTCTCAACCGTTGATCTGCCCCTCCTTTTCCTCCCAAATTTAATTTCCTTACAACAAACCAGGAGCACTTGTAATAGAAGCTGACCATAGACAGACAAGCCAAACTCTCTCTCTCTCGAGTTCTTTTTTTTCTTTTTTCTGACTTGGTTTGGTTATCTTTGTTTCAAGTATTATGCTTCCTTAAGAAACAAACAAAGCCTTCCTCTCCTTTTCTATCACTTTCTCTGTTCATAGTTTCATTATTTTTTCTTTTCTTTTTGAAGCCTCTCTTCCCTTTGGTTTCTGCCTTCTGTGATGGCTGCTCGTTATGATCCAAACCCTTTTGATGAAGAGGAAGTTAACCCTTTCTCTGTAAGTCCCTGCCTTTTTTTTTTTTCCCTTTTTTATGCTAATTTTGTGTAGTTTTTTTTTTTCCCATTTTTATGCTAAATTTGTGTTCATAGTGTTCTTTTGGAAGTGTTTATGAGTGTTTTGTAGGTTTTAGAAGTTATTAAAGAGAGTTTTGAAAGTTCCAGGGTTTAGTGAGGTGTTTTCTGTGGTTGAATTTTTGGTTTTATGATTGATGTAAGCCTTTTGTTATGGAAATTTAAATATTGCTTAGTTTTGAGTGATTTGGTTTAATCTAAGGCATGTTAAGTTCTTAATTATATTACTTTTTCAGGAAAAACCCTCGATTATTGGGACGGAGTAATTTTGTGTATCTTAATAATTGATGGAATTATGTATAGAAAGTTGTTAAATATTAGACTTCGTAATTAAAAGAAATTTGAGTTATCTGGGCTGGTGGGAGAGATAAGCCTGTGTTTTAACGCTTGGCTGGATCATTTTCAGGAATTTTGTTTGAAAGTGATAAATGTTTGATGGTTGGCTTTTTGTATTTTTTAAAAGCTTGGTAATTTTAATTTGATGTTCTTATAACTAGGACCCGGCTGTGAGGTCGAAAGCATCAGGGCAGTCGAACTATAGTGGGAGTGCATTCAACACAACAGTAAGCCTAGTTCTTGCAAAAATTAAAACTATGTTTTATGTTTTTCAATATTAAACCAACAAATGCTGTAACTCTTGCTTATGATATTGGTGATTTTGCAGGGTGTTCCTCCTGCTTCAAACTCGAGGCTTTCACCACTTCCTCCTGAACCTGCTGGTTTTTACAATTATGGCACCACGGTCGACATTCCTATTGATGCAGCTGCGGTAGGGATGAGATTCTCTTGTTGGTGAAAACCAGAGTCCATATTTTCCATTTGTATAATTGGTGTTATACTTGATTTTTCGTACTCTAATATGCTGTGAATCTAGGATTTAAGAAAGAAAGAGAAGGAACTTCAGGCTAGGGAGGCTGAGCTGATAAGACGGGAGAAGGTATGTTCTGGTAGATTTTTTTTAAAAATACAAGCGCTTTGGTAATTTTTTTTTTCTGTGTGTGCTGAACATAGTTGTTTTGAAGGAAGACATGTACTAGCCCTTACAATTATAGTCTATAAGAGTGTTGTTGAAGGTCTTCAAGGGATGTGGAATTGTCTTTTGATGGTGCATTTGTGTTCCAGTTTTGGTTCATTAAGAGAGCTTTTTTTACATTGCTGTGAAAGCTCTAGTGTAGAGTAGTGTTTTTTACTTGTTTTAAAATCCAGCCGAGATTTTTTTACATCTTTCAGGTTGGATGCTGACTAATTCTGCCATCCTAGACACATTACGGATGGTTCCTTTTGTGGCTTTCTTCTCCCTTCATATCCTTGCATTATATTAATCTCATTAATCTGCCTTTTTTCTGGTGCTAAACAGGAGGTAAAGAGGTTAGAAGATGCAGCTGCAAGAGGTAATATACTCTTGATCGAGCCTTATCAAATCATCTCGACTTTCCTGTTTTCTGATGTTCCTTGTCTAACAGACTACTTTTTTCCCATGTGAAATATTCGACTACTTAGTTGCATGTATTATTTGAACAACTGAACTAATTATTTTTTCCTTGTATGGCCAATTGGTTTTCCAGTTCTATCATGCAGTTTACTTTTTTTAGTTCTCTCTTTCCATTTGCAGCTGGAGTTGTCCTGGAAGAGAAAAACTGGCCACCATTCTTCCCAATAATCCATCATGATGTAGCAAACGAAATACCAGTTCATCTACAAAAAATTCAGTACGTTGCATTTACAACATTTTTAGGTATGCAAGCCTTCCTGGATCTATGGACTGATGTTGTTAGCATTAAATTAAAAAATAAGTTCATTTTTTGTGAACATTTATAAGTTTGAAGTCTACCTTGTTTCCATTTTTTTATAATAATAAATCCTTGTCAAGATTGGCATCTTGGCTAACTGGTCCTTGACAAAATAAGTAGATTCGGTATTCTTTTTGATATTTCACTGCAATTATTTTTAGTATCAGCTATGTAGGTTATTGAATGGGGTCCTGGGCATGCACCTTGACCCTCTAAAGGTATCCCAACCAGGAAGATATGTGTATTATATGTATATTGCTGTGGCTTTTGCTACTTCATGAATTACAAGTGTTCATTATATTTCTGCTCAACATATTTGTTCTTTAAAAAGTGGGACAATTCTTAAACGTTAAGCATCCTCTAGCATTTCAAAGCTCCTCGTCCCTATGTTGTATGGTAGGGATGAAGAGTACCAATTTCATGTTTTACTGAATTTGGTACCAAAATATGCTTGTCTTGGTTAAGAGCAGTGTCCTTCAGAACTCCTAGTTTTTTGACAACAAAGACTCTGCCTTTGTTTTCTGTAAACTGCATCATCACTGTGATAGTGATATATCTGAGCCATCTGAATGAAGTGCATCGTTTTCTTCCCATCCTCTTCATCCCCACCACTCTCCTCTCAACCAGCTGTCTACTCCCCCTCACCCCCAATTCTGTCATACCATCTTTGAACCAAAACTGAAGTCCTTGCATGTTTACCTTCCTTATGGACCCTATAACCAAGGCAAGTTTACAATCATATCCTATAAAATGGAAATTCATTAGCAAAAAGGCAAATCTAATTGACTGAAGCATTCATATTGTATTGGTTCCGATGTGATTTTTTCTTTATTCTATTTTCACGATTACTTTGATGTAATTGTGCACAATTATATTGCTAGATGGCTCTGTGGAAGTGATGAATGATGATCTTGTGCAGGATTGACTTTTTGTCTTTTCTGGAATGTCATCGCTGTTACAACGGCATGGATTCAAGGCGAAGGTTAGTTAATAAACTTTTGCCGCTTCAGTCCTATGCATGCAAGGTTTTCAATTATCTATGTTGTCTTAAAATTCTCTACATCATATGTTGAAACATCTTACATTGCAGGGGTGAAAATATGGTTTCTTTCTGTTATCTACTTCATATCAGGAGTTCCTGGAGCTTATTTTTTGTGGTATCGTCCACTCTATCGTGCATTTAGGTATTTATCTCCCTTGTTTACTTCAACTTTTGTGCTATTCTTAATTATATACTAGGCTGAAGAGTGAAACCTACAATACAGCTAGTTCAGGACTGTGGTTTAGTGCCCAAGCATCTTTTTGATGCTTTTAATGAGGTTGAAACATTTTAACCTTATTGGCAAACCAATCCTGTTTGAGCTGAGTACTGTGCTTGAACTTTTTACTTTTTTTTCCAAACCTTGGAACACAAAGCTGTTTTCTGATACATCAAAAGGTGTTGTTTGAGGCTTGGAAATTATGTGATACTGTAAGTAGCAACAGGTTATTGGCAAAGATATGTTTATCTTTTACATAGTTAAGATTACTCTGATCCAGTAGTTTAACATTTAGGTGATTGAAACAAAAAGTGAACAAAGAGTACTGTGAATCTAGATTTTCACCTCCATAATATAAGAAGTCTACCTGATAGTTCATCTATAGTTATATCAAAATGCAGAAATATTGTAGTTTGCTGTGCTGTTGAATATCAAACTCTTCGTGCAGGACTGAGAGTGCTATGAGGTTCGGGTGGTTTTTCTTGTTTTATGTGGTAAATTTTCATCTTGCTGATGGCTATTCATTTATTTATTTTTTATTCTGTCCAGCTCATCTCCTATGAAAATTAAATACCTAATCTTTGTCCATCTTTTTTCTCCCAGCTTCACATTGGCTTCTGCATCTTTGCTGCTGTGGCTCCTCCTATAGTTTTCAAAGGAAAATCTCTCACGTATGTTTCTTCAAGTATTTTCAACTACTGTTTGTGTTTCAGACTAATGTTCTTGTGGCTTTATATTGCAAAATCCTTTAATGTTTCGTGACTGATGGTTTTTTTGTTGTCGGACTTTCAATCAGTGGTATTCTGGCTGCTGTAGATGTTGTGGGTAACAATAGTATAGCCGGGGTGAGATCTCTGATATCAATTTGTAAAGTTTCTTGCAATCTTGCTGATTATCCAATTCTTCCAAACCTTTTTTTGAGTAATTATGCGCTTGAACTAGGAAAGTAGGGCCCGCACTTCTCTCTTTTTTCCTAGATTTGTTCTGGCTGCTTTGCTCCTTTAGTTATCCACTGCAATGTTGGTTTCCTTACTAGAATCAACATAGCATTACTTTCTGTAGGCTAGATGGTTAATTGTTTCTTGTGCTTATAGATCTTCTACTTCATCGGATTTGGTTGTTTCTGTCTTGAATCACTGCTAAGCATCTGGGTTATTCAGGTACTTTTTTCCTTGTGTTGAATTGTTCATAGTCTCATCTATGCACCATGCAGCTTTTAGAACTTTCTTCAAAGTATTTCTCACCTCTTGGTTTCCTCGCTGCGCAGCAAGTATACATGTACTTCCGTGGAAGTGGCAAAGCTGCCCAGATGAAGCGTGAGGCTGCTAGAGGAGCATTGAGGGCAGCAGTTTGATTCTATGCGCTTGTAAGAAAGCATCACGGTGACCTTGTGTGTGGATTTAGGTTGTAAATGCTATTAGATGCATAGACTTGGGATACAACGTAAATATAGAAACACAGCTTGCTTGAGCCTGGCTTTGTTAGACCAATTTCATTACTGTTAAATTTCTTGCTCAGGGTATAGTTAATGGATTTTGCAGGTTGCATTTTTCTTCTCTTCTGTTGAAACATGGATGGGATTAAACGTAGAGATGCATAATAATCTTGGGAAAATCACGTAGCTATCCAGTTGGTGTTTGCAAAGATGTCAACTTGGATCAATCTTTTGCAGGGCCACAAAACTTTGAACATGTTCACATGTACAAGGGGAGGCCATGAGGAAAATCGCTTTCATGTGGATAGCTTATATAAGATCTGATTGAAAGGAGACGGTTCGGGTGCCTGTTAGCAAACCAAGAACACCATAAGTGTTCACTGAACATCTTAGAAAACAGACTGGAGGGCTGTCAGGGAAAGTTTCTTTTCAACATTTTGCTTTACAAGCTCGCTGATACATGGCTGCAGTAGTTTACAAGACACTGACAGAATGATTTATTAAGGGCTTTATCGGTACAGAACAGCCAGGAGTTCTAATTTGACATAAAAGAAGCAGATCCCATGCAACAATTTCCTAAGCAGAATGCTTTCAATCCAGTCTTTCAAGGGGAAGGAATTGTTGAGATGTATAAAAAACAAAGCAAATATTTGATAACAAGTGGGCTCTTCAAGATTAGCTGCTCTTCTAGTTATCTTTCAAGCTTGGCTGTGTCGACAAAGATTCCTCGCTCTTGGGTTTAGCTGACTTGATAGGACCCGGGATAACTCGTGGCTGAACTTCATATCTTCTCAAAGCCAGAATGGTGGATGGGAAGATGGAATTTAAGAGCTCATTTTTAAATATATTTTTATTTTTTAAAAAAATATTTTTAATTTAAATATAACAAAACAATCTAAAAACACTAAAAAAAAGCTAATTAAAAAAAGAGAAGTTAACAAACTGCATTTTGACTCTCCGTAGCGAGTTATGGGCAAAAATTTATGCCATTCCTTAAAGAAATGGACCACGAAAACTTAATATTTAAAGACATTCTTGGCACTCCAATGTTTTCATACAAAATTATGATATTACAAGATAACCTGCAAAAGAGTTTATAATTAAAAATATATTAAAATTATTTTCTTAAGATTTTTTGCATTAACAAATCAGAATCATAAAAAAAATTGTAAAAAACTAATAGAAAAACAGTTAAACCTGGTCTAACACATATCGAGCTAGTTTAATGATATGTTGTGTAAGAAAAAAAACCAGGGGGCTGCAAAAATGCATCAGAAGAAGCAAAAAACTGTAGTTTTATAAACTCGAGCACCGAATATATTATGCTCCATGTTATTTAATATAGTATATAGTATTCAACATTACACTGCATGATTAAATACTTTTATCACTAATAATAGTAGAACTATTACCAGCGACTGGTTGCCACGCCACAATCCAATACCACATCAACTCCCTCTAGCAATAAGCAACACACTTCTTACAATCTAGGGTGCACCCACCACCACCACCGCCTCCTCCATAGCCCTTCCCTGACCGGCTGTGAGAGGTGAAACACTTGGCTGGGCAAGTCAGCTTCTTCTTATAACATGGGCCTCTCTCTCTGCACACCACACTGGGCCTCACAATACCACCTTTAGAGTACCCTCCTTTTGGACCACCAAACCCAGCACCATACCCGCCACCCATATCTCCCCACCCTTTACCAAACCCGGCTCCGGGTATGCCAAACCCTGTTCCGGGTATACCAAACCCAGGTCCGGGTCCAAAGAACCCACCCATCCCACCATCATTTCCACCAGCTCTGTTGTTGTGGTTGGTGGGTTTGCCTTTTGTGAACTGATCTTGGTCGGGGTCGGGTTGGGTTGCAACGGACAGTGAACATGCAACAAGCAAAAGAGCTAGGAGAAAGAAGCTAGCGAAGGATTTCATTTTCGCGCAAAAAGGATGAGTTGTTTTCTGAGGATGTGCTAAGGAGAGAAGAAAGAGAAATGGGAAGGAATATTTAAAGGTGGAAAGAAGCATTTATTGGGAAAGGATGGAGGGCAGTTGAGGATGGGGCCTCCATGAATAGGGTCGGTTAGCAGCACTAATGGCACTTGCATTTGCAAGTTTCGTGTGCGCGTCTTTGATTTCCACGATGGTTTTTAAGGGCATTTCTATGGATAAGAACTAGTGGATCATGTATGCTTGCAGCATAAAGATAATCTATGATAATGATGCGCCATTGCTAAAGTGGGCAAAATTTCTTCAACGTTTGCGGTCGTGGTGGACACTGGAGATGGAGAAAGGCAGATTCCTCATGATACCTGGGGCATGGTCCCTGTAGTTTGACTGAAACCTTGGTTGATTTGACATCCCTGAAGATGTTTTCGAAATTATAAAAACTCTCTTAGACTTTAATTTAAAAATTCAAATCCAAGTAATCTCGATATAAAAATAATGAACGCTTCAAGTATTTGTGAATGACGTCGATAGTTCTTGTTGAACATATGGGCAAATCCCTCTTCAGAGGCTTTTTTTAACACCAACAATTATATTAACTACATCTTGTAATAGAAGAAACAAAAAACGAGCGAAGTAGACTTGGATGCAAATGAATCAAATGATAAATTAACTCTGAAGCACATTTTGATTATAGCTGATGAGATAAATAGCTAGAAATGGATGTTTATGAACAAGGAGATGGGATTGGACGCCAATGAATGTGTATTTTCAAGTACCAGGCGACATGCTGACAGAAATAAATAAATCTTTATGGCTATGGCCCTGGCCGAGGGTTTATTTGCTTTGCCATGAACATGTAATGAATGTGGTGATCTTCCAGCCTGCAAATTCATTAAAAAGAATTGAAGTTCATAACCTAAACATCACAGTCAGAGATCCCATGGATTATCCATGCACCCTTCAATTTGGGGGTAGAAGTCAACGGTGTTCTGCCGAGTAATAAGTAAGGTCAAATGATTTGCACCTTGGAATTGAGGGTTGCATTAGACCCATTAATCTATAGATATATAGCTTGTATATGAATGTGCTGCCAAGCTGGGCACCTATGTTTTTACCCACAGGACTGCAACAAATTTAAAAAAAAAAAAAAATCATAACTTTAGGACCCATAGATTGCCTGTTCATTGAGGGTATACGGACCGGTGAGTCAGTATGAGTCGGCAAATGGTGAGCCGAAAGAGCCCGGAATATTTAAAGGGAGAGCTACCACAAATTTATTGCTCTTTGTTTTTTGAAAAAAAATTAAATGATTTTTATAAAAAAAATAAATGATTGTTTAATATTTAATAATATTATAAAATAAGAGTAAAAAACTTTTGTATAAAGCAAATTTAATTTTTTTTTTACTTGAAAGCAGTTGTCATCAATCAACTTTTTTAATACTAAACAAATATGAAAAATTAAAATACTTTTCTATAAACCTAATTAAATTTTTTTAACTTGAAAGTAATTGTCATCGATCAACTTTTTTAATACTTTTTTAATACTAAACAAATATGAAAAAAAATTAAAAAACAGTTTTTATTTTTCCATTTCCATTGAATTAATCTTGAACCAAGAAATTAAAACAACCATGCTCTCCATCCACATAACTCTCAAGGTCAAGATTTGTTATGCTTTAAATAAGGGTTGCTCTTGGAAATTACGTATACTTTGACTTTTGGCTTGGTTGCTCTGGTTGACGTTTATTTATTTATATATTAGCAGACTTATATGTGATAAAATCAGTGGGCTTCTTTAAAGATCTCAATGGCCTGTTTGAAAATACTTACACTTATTTTATAAAGTATTTTTATTTAAAAACATATTAAATACTTTTTTATTTTTAAAAAATTATTTTTATTATGAGTGTATTAAAATGACTAAAAAAATATTAATTTCAAGTAAAAAATAAAAAAAATTAAATTTTTTAAAATATTTTTAAAATACAAAAACAAATAGAACCGGATCACCAACAATTTACCCATCCTAGTTGAAATTTATAATTATATATATTAGTATTTATTTTTGTATTTTAAAAATATTTTTAATAAATTTTTTTTTTTTTCCAAACCTACCAAACTTTCCTCTGGCATGCAACAAGTGATGGACCATTCAAGGAGGATGCTTCTCTTAACGAAAAATAACTGTCGATGTTTTCTAAAATCCAGTTCCCCGGTGGTTCCTTTTCCTTTTCCCCGCAGGCGTTACTGGAGGAGAGTCAAATCTATTATTAATATTAAATGAAATTAAAAATAAAAGGGATTGAGTTGAAAAATAAAATAAATTTAGAAAAAAAATAAAAAAAGAGTAGTTAAAAATATAGATTCCTAGCATTATACATAAAAAAATTAAAAAAATAAAATTAAAAAAATTCAAATTCAAATTTTAATATTTAATTTATATTTTATATTGCCATGATCAATATCATAATTACATTACAAGAAAAAAAAAACACATCTTTTCTTTTGACATGACATATATACTGTGAACTGAATAGTGCACCGAGTTAACCCCTTTATTTCTATTTTTTTTTTATCCTATTCTTGAAAATCTATTCTTTTAGTTATTGATAATTTATTTTATTTTATTCCTGTGGATATTTTTTTAGATTTAATAATTTATTTTATTTTATTAATTAAAAAATTAAAATATCAAAGATTTAATTTATTTTTTTAAAGAATAGACAATTTCTTTTTGATTTTTAGAATTTTTTCAGAATTATTTTTTATTTAAAAATATATTAAAATAAATTTTTTATATTAAAAAAAATATTTTTAATATTAATATATTAAAATGATCTAAATATAAAAATTTTATTTAAATAAAAAATTTAAAATTTTAGAAATGCTATTCCGTGTTCCCAAATATGCTCTTGGACACAACATGTTACGTGTTGCCTCTAAGCTAATAATACGCTAACTCCAGTTTCGAACATAGGACCTCGTTATTTATCCCATGCGTTCACCACTGAGCTCGGGACTAAAAACAAATACAAACTGCCTCTTTTTAACGCTTAATTAACGATAATCCTGTAAACATTATAAAAGGAGGTTTAGCTCACATGGTATAACATGAATTTGTTCTTATATCATCCATCATCTTGGATTTATGTCCAGAACGGGGGTTGGAAGA